AGGTAAGCCACTTAACTAGCAACTACAGGGCGCAATAGGAATAAGATATTCAGTTTCTTAAAATGAAATCAGACGGAAACTTGACATGGTTCAAAAGGAAGGGTGGGTGGGCGCGCTTTGTCTTTGACCCACCCATCCAGCCATTGATGTTTGGAGCGCCTCTTTCACTGAGTGACTTTGAAACTTTTTGAGCAAACACTTCGAGCAGAGCCTCCGAGTGGCCAGCCCTGTGGCCTGCGACCACACTTGCGACCCCATGCACTCGTAAGAGAAAAGGTGCGTGATGTATCCAGTTTCTTTAAATGAAATCAGAGGAAACGTGGCAAATGTGTAATGTGTAACATCAAAAAAACGTAGTCTTGTCTCTGGATTATCAACGAATCAACGACATGGACTTGCCAATTGTGGTTGTCGCCCAGCTCAACAAAGGGCAAAAAATTGTGTTTGCTTTGATGCTGTGCTATATCACAGGTTGAAGCTGGGGGCGCGTATACTGGTGGAAAGCTTGCAGGTTGCGTTGTGCAAATCATGTCGGCAGCAAAAATTCTTCATCAAGTGAAAAACAATTTCAACGCAACGCGCGAAACAGTGACACCTTTTGCTACAGACGTGCTGTTGCAAATGGAACACGTGACACACGATTTTATTGTTTGTGTGACTTGCCAGCAACATGGACCAGCCGTTTTGCGTCAAGGCCTTTGCATGTGGATGCGTTGCCAATGGCCGCAGGCCAATTCAGAAACCGCTTTCACAAAAATTATGTAACTTTCATGAAACACTAACAAAAAATAGACCCCACAATCAGAAGACGTCCAACGTCCTCGATAGTGGCTGATGCCCCTTTTTGATTAATGCACATTTTTTGGCGTTTTTGTTTCTTGTCAAACCATGGCCAGAGTTATTGCGGCTTCAGCGTGCGGAGCTGTGGTTGCTTTGGGCCTACAAAAGCTGCTGAGAGGTAAAACCGAGGCATGGGAAACTGTTCAGGGTGTACCGATGCAGACAGCAAGCCATATGGTTGGAATTTCTTGATTTCCAGTGATGTTCCTGCAAACAGAACATGAATGTCATGTTAGTTATTATGGAACAACATCTGAATTAGTTAGTTCGATCTGTTTCTCATATTCCTCGACGTTGGGCATAGGCTGTGACATGGTGGAAGTGACAGGCTTATCACAAACTCGAGAACTTAAGTAGTGCTTTTGGGTAGAATTGGATTGAAAAAACCAAGAAAAAGGCTGTTATGTACTTTTAGTAAGTGCTCCGTTCCATTTTATGCACAAGTGCAGAGGCACGAAGAGTGTCCGCTCCAGTGGAGACGAAACTCATTGATGGAAAGGCCATTGCTGCCGAGGCTTGAGTTTGCGACTTACTAGAATCATGGCACATGGATGAATTTAAGCGGCTGATTGTATTGGGTTTCCACCTGTAGACTGTAGAGTAAAATCCAATTTCAAGTTTCTGCACCTTTAAAATGACGTTTGAAAACGGCGCTCGCAGTTTGCTGCTTTTGTTTCGCTGCTTTGAATCTGAAACAAAACGTAAGAACACTAGATAACTTTTCAGACACATCAGTAAGAGTGGCAGGTTTCAATGAAGAGTAGGAGGCAACTGATCGGCTTGATAGAAAGACAAACTTAACTCTTTCCAGAACCAAAAAGATCCACAAGGTTCATCATGGCTTCAGACACTGAACGATGTATTTCTATACAGTTCACCTTTGAAGTGGCAATGATTTTGATGGCGATCCTGACTCGAATCGAAGGTCAGGATTTGCCAACCTTCCTTGGATGAAAACATTGCAACTTGTGGGGCTGAGGGTGTTTTGTGATATCAAGAGATCATTTGGATCTGTCACTTCGCACATCCGTAGTGTTGGCCTTCCAAATGATTCATCACATGGACAGGGTTTCCTTGAATACGGTATATTTCATGGCATCTGAAGACTCCATGCCACAGCCATCTGGAGTTGACTCAGAACTCGAGCAGGGTCCAAGGACCATGTGACCATGTCGAGGTTGTCCGAGACCGTTGGGGGCGTGTTCTTTTGTTTTTTCGCCCTTCGGGCTTACCATCACCTGAACTAGCGATTTGTTCGTGCTTCTCAAGAAGGTTGGGAAACGGATGGCCGGTAATCCTCCACAGGTGCTGTTATGTGCCGTTCGACCAGGTTTCGGAGACACAAAGATCAAAGCGTGTTTGGAAGTTTGGCAATTCACGTTCTAGCCATTTGGTGCATTGGGAGGGTTCACTGTGCTAAGGCACACTTCTAGACTGTTTCGAGCGTGTTGAATTTTTGGGTTAGCTCAAAAGGTTTGACCGGAACCCCACCCAGTAATTAGCCAATATCTACTTCTCAACCCGTCCCACTCCTTTCCCTGGCCCTAGACGACCAATTTTTGCTCCTTTTGTTGTTAGCTTCCGTCTTCTGCTGACTTGTCACGCCTCCTCTTGGGCATCTGCAGGCAGGGCATTTTTTTCTGCTCATAGGAAGGCACAACTGCTCCAAAGGCAATCAAAGTCTTTTCCTCTTCAAACATGGAGCCCATTGAATGCCATTCTAAAATTCACCTGAACGCCATATCACCTTCACAAATGGCATTGCAAGAACAAGTGCATCAAGGAAATGGTTTCAGTTAAATCTGGAAAATGGCAGCCTGAAATACCCAAGTCCTGGTTCTGTACTTCCCAGCATTTTTGTCAATTTCTTTTTGTACAAGCTCTGCCATTCCGAGCCGCAGTCCATCGCATTATGTAACTTCCGGAAAGGGAGAGAAGTGAAGAGAGTTTACGTTACGGAGAGAAATGAGGAACATGGGAAAGACATGGACATCATTAGTGCATCAGCAAAGCAGAAGAAACAGGCCAGGCAGGGCTCTGACAGAGGAGGCAAAGGCTTGATTGACACTTTGGATACGAAGATTGAAACGAACAGATTACAAGGAAGGCCCCCCTCTTAATAAGGCTTCCTCTAAAAGAGCCTTCCCAAAGGGGCCGTTGCCTTCTTATTATCAATTCTTTGTAAATTGTTGTTATTTTTTCCCCAAACAGTTTACTGTTAGGGGTTCTCAATGCTTTAAAGAATGGTCGCCTTGGTGCTGGATGGTCTGGTCGGGTTCCCGGCCGGCTTGTCTCCCACTTCCTTTTATTTGTCTCCCAGTTCTTTTCATTTGTCTCCCAAGCTCGGTGCTTGTGGTCGGGTTCGCGGCTGGCTTGTCTCCCACTTCCTTTCATTTGTCTCCCACTTCTTTTCATTTGTCTCCCAGTTCTTTTCATTTGTCTCCCAGGCTGGGTGCTTGTGGTCGGGTTCCCGGCTGGCTTGTCTCCCACTTCCTTTCATTTGTCTCCCACTTCTTTTCATTTGTCTTCCAGTTCTTTTCATTTGTCTCCCAGGCTGGGTGCTTGTGGTCGGGTTCCCAGCTGGCTTGTCTCCCACTTCCTTTCACTTGTCTGGGTGCTTGTGGTCGGGTTCCCGGCTGGCTTGTCTCCCACTTCCTTTCATATGTCTCCCACTTCTTTTCATTTGTCTCCCAGTTCTTTTAATTTGTCTCCCAGGCTGGGTGCTTGTGGTCGGGTTTCCGGCTGGCTTGTCTCCCACTTCCTTTTATTTGTCTCCCACTTCTTTTCATTTGTCTGCCAGGGTGGGTGCTTGTGGTGCTGGCTTGTCTCCCACTTCCTGTCATATCTCCCACTTCTTTTCATTTGTCTCCCAGGCTGGGTGCTTGTGGTCCGGTTCCCGGCTGGCTTGTCTCCCACTTCCTTTCATTTGTCTCGCACTTCTTTTCACTTGTCCGGCTGGGTCTTGTGGTCGGGTTTGCGGCTGGCTTGTCTCCCACGTGCTTTCATTTGTCTCCCACTTCTTTCATTTGTCTCCCAGTTCTTTTCATTTGTCTCCCAGTTCTTTTCATTTTTGGTCTCCCAGGCTGGATGCTTGTGGTCGGGTTCCCGGCTGGCTTGTCTCGCACTTCCTTTCATTTGTCTCCTACTTCTTTTCACGTGTCTCCTTTCCTTTCATTTGTCTCCCAGGCTCGGTGCTTGTGGTCAGGTTCCCGGCCGGCTTGTCTCCCACTTCCTTTCCCACTTCTTTTCATTTGTCTCCTAGTTCTTTTCATTGTCTCCCAGGCTGGGTGCTTGTGGTCGCGGGTTTGCGGCTGGCTTGTCTCCCACTTCCTTTCATTTGTCTCCCACTTCCTTTCATTTGTCTTTTCATTTGTCTCCCACTTCTTATCATTTGTCTCCCAGTGCTTGTCATTTGTCTCCCACTTCTTTTCATTTGTCTCCCAGGCTGGGTGCTTGTGGTCGGGT